GATGCATAGTTCCAGGGTTTGATAGCAAGGGTTTAATATCAGGAAATGTTATTCATCGAGAACATACAAACCCAAAAGGAGTAAGGTCCATAAGTGTTAAAACTTCATAATATAGTTATATGAAGTGGCTGACAGCATGTAAATTTCCTCTTGAAAGTAAAGCAATTAGGAGTAGACTCCCTTTAACCCCCTACAAAACAAGGAAAAAGTGGCAAAACCCCTTGTATTTTAGACAATTAAGGGTTTAAAAAATAGAAGAATTTGAAAAAATCGTGCAAAAAAGTGAGGCTGTAGTGGAAAAATGGAGGCAAAAAAAGAAAGGGCACGGAAGAAAATCGCATGGTAAAACACTAGAAGGCGAAATATTCATGCATAATACATCCATCTTTGGGATTTTTATTTAACTTGCACAACTCAAATATCTGCTTACTACTGAAGAAAATGGAGTCATTATTAGCCAAAAAAAATTACTATACAAAAATATAGAAAAAAAACCGCTAACATCTAACATCAGAACAAAAGGAACATAATCGGAAGTTGATATCGTTAATGGTGAGGGTGAAAAATAAGATACGAGAGATCAAGATTTTTAACATTATATCAAATGTCTATCGCAACTTTGATAAGGAGCATAACATAAGATTCAACATTATTACTCGCATTGTAAACCCAAAGCACTTCTTCTAACAGCTTTTTGGTTGCGGGACACTATCTACTTAAGTAATTCTCTTCAAGTTGTTTCTTGGGGGNGAACAGCTGTAATGGAATTAAGAAACAATAAAAAGAAGTCATATGGAGAGCTAACAAAGCTGCTTGTTGAAGCAGAAGAAAAATATAAGTTAAAATCATAAATTTTTGCATATAAGCTGGATAATCATTACATAACAAACTCATATTTATGCAAAATTAAAAAGTTCCATTAACAGTAATAATAACGATGATAATACAGACCATTACTATCATGTAGTGGTTAACCAAGCTTGATTTAAAAGTGCAAATTCACGATAAGATTATAGAATATGGATTAATAAAAAGGTACTATACTTGAGGAAAGGGTAAAAATTTTATCGGAAGAGCTCGATTAGTTTAAGATTAACAACTCAAAATGCAAATGACTACTCTTTCACGGGTTGATAGAGCTTGGAGTGAGATTGTCGATTTTTCCAATTTTTTATGTACTTCCTAATTAACATATCATTATTCTCAATAATCAGCAGATTTTCAGTATTCCTAAATTCTGCAGAATGAGTGAAGTTAAAGGAACCTGAGAGTACTTTTTTATTGTCAATTATCATCACCTTATTGTGAGCAATGGCTGGTTTATAGTCTATGTATATTGGTATTTCTTGTGCAAACAAATAACTTATAACACTGTACTTTGAGCTAAGCTGAGACTCATCCAAAATAACTGCCACACTAACACCACGCTCCTTTGCTCGAATCAAAGATTTTGCGATTGGCTTAGAAGTGAACGTATATGCTTGAACTAATATAGATTTTTGAGATTTGTCTATTGCATCAATTATATGTATAGAACATTTTTCCTGAGGAGTAAAACAAACTATGATTTTCGTACAAACACAGCCAGATAAAAACAAACATATTAATAAAAGTAAGAAACGTGTGCACATATAACTAAATTTATCTTATCCATTAATGGCGGAGGTATAAGAGGAATAATACCAGCAAAAATAGAAAAAAATAGAAAAAAAAGATCAAAAACTTATTTTCCAAATCTTTGACCTGATGGCAAGAACCTCAACAGGTGGAATAGTTGCAGCGTGCTTGTGTAGCCAAAAATATTCAGCAAATGATTTAGTGAACCTTTATAAGGAATACGGGCCATATATTTTTAAATTATCATTTTGGAGAAGATCGATCTTCTCGTAGCTTAATGGCGCACAATATTCACATGAAAATATAGCCCCCCCCTACAAAACAAGGAAAAAGTGGCAAAACCCCTTGTATTTTAGACAATTAAGGGTTTAAAAAATAGAAGAATTTGAAAAAATCGTGCAAAAAAGTGAGGCTGTAGTGGAAAAATGGAGGCAAAAAAAGAAAGGGCACGGAAGAAAATCGCATGGTAAAACACTAGAAGGCGAAATATTCATGCATAATACATCCATCTTTGGGATTTTTATTTAACTTGCACAACTCAAATATCTGCTTACTACTGAAGAAAATGGAGTCATTATTAGCCAAAAAAAATTACTATACAAAAATATAGAAAAAAAACCGCTAACATCTAACATCAGAACAAAAGGAACATAATCGGAAGTTGATATCGTTAATGGTGAGGGTGAAAAATAAGATACGAGAGATCAAGATTTTTAACATTATATCAAATGTCTATCGCAACTTTGATAAGGAGCATAACATAAGATTCAACATTATTACTCGCATTGTAAACCCAAAGCACTTCTTCTAACAGCTTTTTGGTTGCGGGACACTATCTACTTAAGTAATTCTCTTCAAGTTGTTTCTTGGGGGGGTTAAAGATATATGCACTAAATATCACAGCATCCCCTTAGTAATTTAATTTACGTAGGAAAATATTCTGATATAGTATAGCTTTAGCTATATGAATGGATTCACAGAAAATAGACTTAATATTTGAAAGACTTCAAAAGTCGAATCCTATTCCAAAAATAGAGCTCAGCTACACTAACCATTTCACATTATTAGTTGCAATAGTTTTATCAGCGCGGACAACCGATATAAGTGTTAACAAAGTTACAAAAGAGTTATTTAAATTTGTTGATAGCCCAGAAAAAATGCTCAACCTGGGGCGTGGCGAGCTAATGAAACGCATAGCCAATATAGGTTTATATAACTCCAAGGCGAAAAACATAGTTGAGCTAAGCAAAATGTTGAATATCAGCTCCTTTCTCTATAGTACTTTACTACGTCTGATTTGCCCTAGTCTGCAGCCGCATGAAGTGCAGTAGTACCAAAAAAAAATTCTGAGAATTGACATTAATCTCCTTATTTATATATTCTTTTACTTTTTTAATCCCTGTTACGCGTATACTGCAAAAATTATCTACGCTACAAGTCGTCACAGTACTATCGCTTGCTGACATTCTTTCTCCTAAATTCCGATGCGATAAAGCGTATGTAATACAATAACTTATTGATTGATTCTATTAGTGATGCAAGGAAACAGAATTCCCTCTCTTTTGCTTAATCTAAACTGAATTTTTAGTTTTTTCTCTCCTTATTTACCATTTTTATGGTAATTAACAATTGCATTTTTACGTATTTCATCAAATAGCATAGAACTTTGTTTTATAATTTTTTGTTGGTATATTCCCTGTTTAATTGCTTCTATATCAATTTTATCACTTTCGATGTTACATAACATGATTAGCCTTGCAGCGCTGCTTTCCTTGATTTCTAATATTTCATTTATGTTTGTCTTATGAAATAAAATCTGTAGTTCAGGGTTTAAGTCTCTCATTTTTATTTTTAATTCCTTTATGTTTGGTAGTTTTAGATCATGTGTGAGTTTATTAAAATTTGAACAATTAACTTTTTTCTTTTTGAGATTTTTTAGCACACTTTCTGAATCTTTAACTATAATCTGTTTTAAATTTAAAGTGCTATTCAATATTCCATGATCAAGCTGAATCTTGTCATTCACCCTGATAAAAGAGTAAGGACCTTCATTGTAATCTGTGATTTCATCAATTTTTGATTTCCTTAAAACATCCTTGAGTACACCTTTTGATTGATTTAAACTAACAGTTGCGTGATCTATTACCATTGCAGATTGAGTAGTAGAATTACCGTCATTGTATAACTTTTTGACTATATCTTTGGTAGCTTTTTGATTGACTATAATTTTTTCAAATTTAATAAGATAATCTGATTTTTCTATTTGTCTTATAGAATTATTCACCTCTTCATCGCTCACTCCGTTGATAAATGAAACAATTCTATTTTCAATAATTTTATTCCATAACAGTTGATATTTTATTTGATTACTCAACTCTTTAAGGTCTATATCATGCTTTTTTATGTATTGATTGACTTCTTCTGCTCTGAGTTCAAAACTCTGCATGAAAAATGATACGATAGAATTATTTACTTCCTCTTCGCTGAGCTTTATATTTAACCTCTGTGACTCATTGGCAATAATAACTTCATCTACTAGTTGTTTTAATACTTGAGATTTTACTTCTCTTAGATTGATATTTTGATTACCATATAATGAAGTGATTAACTTAATACGTTTTTCAATATCTAGATTTGAAATTGGCTCGCCATTGACATCAGCAATAATTTCAATATTGATTGCAAATAACTTAAGTGGCAATATTACCAATAGTAAAATTACTATCCTATGCATAAAACTGTTTAATTAACGGTTGATTGTATAATAAATACTAAGTTAATGCTAGGCCCTATGAATAAAATTATTCTGCAAGAAAAAGCAGAAGCAAGAAGAAAGTGGTAGTTTACCAGTTAATAAACAAGGAGAAACTCAAATGAAATATTACACATAAGAAACAAAATGGAAACAAATTTTTGCAAATTTGAAAAGTATAAAAGAAATACACAGTAAAAATGAAGATCATCTAAGAAAACTCATGGAATCAGTGTAGCATGTGACACGAAGTGGTTGCCAATGAGGACTTTTATTAGAAATATATGGCAATTACAGAAGTGTACATAAGAGATTTAAAATTGGTATAAAAGGGAATTTGAGAAAGATTGTTAAAATATACATAAGATCCAGATTTGGAAGTGCAAATAATTGATGGGACAATCATTCGAGCTCATGCTTGTACTGCTGAATACAAAAAAGATTCTGGAGCTCAAGAAGCACTAGGACGCAGCAAAGATGGATTACAACTACTCTTAATCAAAAAAATGATATTACACAGGCTAAAACATTGACTGAAAATGTTCAAACTCTACTTTAGTAGCCGATAAGGGTTGCTATAGCAATGCACTCCTCTAAAAAGAAATCGAAAAGCGCGGAGATACTATTACGAATACGTTTATAAAGAGAGGCATTTTATCGAGTATTTTTTTTGTAAGATAAAACATTTTAGGCGGATTTTTTCTCGACTTGACAAGACTGCAGTAGTTTTCATTAAGTTTTTAACTTCGTTGGTGCTCCGTATGGATTGCTTGGATTTTGGTTTGTAGAGGTTGGGCTCTGTCGAGAAAATTTTATGCGAACCACGTGAGAGTTTTAACAAAATTCAAAAATCTCAATAGTTTAATCGAATCTGAAAAAATCTGTCTAAAATTTTTGATTTGAGTAAAAAATAGGTGCCATATAGAGGTGTATCTACACATTTTAATGGCAAAAAAATATTCTCTGTCTCATATTAAACATGATATATGTAACTTACATATTGTCTTAAATTTTTACGCCATTACTTTTTTATGTCAATTATATTCATAATTGCTGAGGTCATTGAAATTGATATTCCGCGCCTAATTTTCCTTATATAACGCGCTATTTTAGCGTTTCATAAGAAACAGTTCAGTTAACTATTGCTTATAATTTCTTGGACTTTTGCATCGGTAGATTATTTTTTTTGGTCCACTATCTGAATAGTGGTAAAAGAAAAATGATGATTATAGGTAATGCGATGCTGTTAATCGGTCTATAGATGTGTATTGCACCATCGATTAATTGGCTTAATTTCTCGGTTTGTACGGGGTATAGGTGCCGGAACATCTGTAATTATATTTGCCATAATCGCAGATAGTACCAGGGTGACAAAGCAATAAAATTTATAGGCATTATGAATCAACACTAACTGTAGTGATCGCGATATCACCTATTTTAGAAAGCTGGAGATTAATGAATCCTATAGGGTGGCATGGTAATTTGCAACTGTTGCAGTAGTTTGTTTGATCTCTTGGATTTTGCTGCTTTTGACATCACGGAGACCAAAAAAGGACCGTGCGGCTTTCAATATAAAAAAAAGATGGTGCAAGATTACAGCAAATTATTATCTGGTTTAAGATTTATCATGTTGTCTTTGACGCCAAGTCTCTTTACTTCCGTATATATGTCGTTCATTACTTGTGGGCCATTTTTATATACGGACACTTTTGGATTATCCAGCAAAATTTATGCATTACATCAAAGTATGATGGTAGGTTCCTTTTCGCTAACCAGTTTATTTTTTTTAGTAATATCTTGCAAAAATTTGGAGCAGGGTAGTGCGTAATTAATAATACAATGATTATTACTATTGGCGCTCTACTACTTATGGCATCGGGTATAACTACACCTACCCTCCTTATTCTGCAACGCTATCTATGATGGCTTTCCACTGGTGATGTAATATGCCATGTAGTAGTTTTTAATCGATCAATGAATGTTTTTCCTAAAACTAATGGTACAGCTTCATCTGTAGTTTCAGGTGTCAGGTCCCTCGTGATGGCAACTTTTATAGGCTCAACGAGTTACGTTTACAACGGTCAAGTAATTAGCGTATCTTTCCTTGTTTTATTTACGGCAATATTAGAACTTGCTTTTACTGTATATTTATTACGATCACCTGAAATTTTGAGTAAAATTACTTTTAAATTTATGAATAATATTGCACAAAGAGGGTCATATCTTTCATCTTAAAATATTATAGGTTGCTTATAAACTACCCCCGTGGAGAAGATTTATGTGAGTCCCAATAAAATGTAAAAATTCCTGCAATTTAATTAAATCTGGAAAATCTATCTAAAATTTTTGATTTGAGTAAAAGATAAGTGTCATTCTTTTTGTTCTATTAATAGAATAAATGATGTAAAATTAAATAAAAGATTATGTGAGAT